TCCTTGGTCAGACCTTCAAATTGACTGGGTCGGATCCTTACCCAGATCGACAAGAGGCAACAAGTATTTCCCCACAGTCGTGTGCCAGTCCGCAAAGTGGGTAGAATGCCTCCCAGCACCCAATGACACTGCTCAAACTACAGCATCCCTCCTGATGAATCACATCTTCTCCAGGTTCGGGCTGCTGCTGAGAGTCAACTCAAGACAGAGGCACCCATTTCACAGCTGAGATCATGCAGCAGATTTGGCACTGCCTTTCTCCTTCTCTGAACCAGGATGCTGCTGTGGCTCTCCGTCCTCTGCCTCCAGCTAACCAGAGGACAACCGCAACCTGATATCACATCACCGGGTCTAGCATCAGGCATTGTACTGAGGGAACAACCTGTACTCCTTATCACCAACTGCAGGACTCACACACAGAAAGTATATGTCCGACTTGACCCCCAAAATGTCTACAAGACACATAATCCCCAGGCAGCCACACACAACAGTTGGAGAGGTGCCCGATGGACTGAGAATACCCTCGCTCACGCAGAAGTCGATATCAAACACATGCTCACTCAGTTGCAGAAAATGACTGTCACCCAAGCAGAGCTAAGCGGACATAACAAGCGTAACAAATGATTCCTGGGGGCCTTGCTTGGAGCTGCTGTTGCTGTTGGAACCCTGTTCAACCTGGGAGTGACCAGCATCAACTCCGTGCGCCTATCTACCCTGAGGCAACATGTAAGGGAGATCCAGACTGAGATGCCCCAGCTGAGAGAACAATTCACACTACAGGGCCAAACCCTACAGACTGTAGGCAAATCATTAAAGGGCACCTTGGTGGTTCTGAACACTCACAGTGTCGTGCTGAACCAAACTGTGAACTCCGTGAAACAGTTATTCGCTGTTATACAGAATGATGTTGCCCAAACTCAGCTGGTCACCGCACTGATGTCTGACATGCTCCGTGAGGTGAGCTCCTCCATCGACAGCCTAGCCATGGGTAGAATTCCTCCGTATCTGGTGCCCCTGAGCCTAGTACAAACTGTTGTCCTCTGCTACTACTCATCCAACTGACTCTCTCCAAGCCCACCTTGCCTACTCCTTGGGAGGATCCATCCTGCTACATGTCGACCCCGAGCAGAGCGAGATGGCGTTTCTTCTGAATCTACCCATCATTGAATCTGACAACATTTACAGACTCAAAGACATTGTCAATGTTGGATTTTGGCAAGGAAACACTCACATCAGGATACACACACCAGATATGGTAGCCTACCACGAAAATAACCCACAGTTATACCTGGCCCCAAACCTGCGTATGTGTACCCTGACCAAAGACATTCATTATCTCTGCCCCAACAAGCCCTTCCTTCGAGACAACACTGAAGGAATCTGCGGGTTACAACCCATGCAAAGAGAGACACTCTGCCCTGCTGAGGCCAAGCCTCGCACACAAGTCACAGAAACGCAAG